AATATTGAATGCTTTTCTTTGAACGCCCTGTATAGTTTCATGAAATATTAGGGGGACCAAAATGTAATGTCGTATCTTTTACATTGAATTCAAACAAATAAATTTATAACAAGTTTTTATTTTTAATCAATTATGTAATCGCCCTCGTTATCAACAACCTTTCGTTATCTAGCGTGCAAATTTTCAATATCTGATCGATAAAAATCAACTGGTATACAATGAGCTGATATATGATAAACAAGTATTGACATTCACAGAAACGACATTACTTTCTGGTCCACCTAATAAAAGTTCCGTTTGAAACATTTTTGGGAACGGCCTACAATTCGTTTTAGAAGATAACTGCATTTAAAGATTAATTCTCTGTTCATGCAGAGCGAACGTCTTCCTTCTGACGTTAATTTGATATATTCGCCCGAACAGGTTGTTCAACGTTCAAAGGAATGGCATTTGGCTCTGATTAACTGATGCGTGCGTTACACATGCGTGCAAATACAATCTGTTCCAAAGTGATTCGCGGATGCATGGCTGCGTCGACAACTCGAAAACTCTGGTCGGTGCCAATTACAAAAACGTGATTTGGAAGCACGCCCGCACGCGTGATTAAAATGAAATTCACCGGCATCGTTTGCTCCTGGACACAGATATTTATTGTTGATTAAATGTCTGCCAACACGATCACGATGTTACGCGTCCGACGAAGCGCGAATGGTATGTCGCGTGTTGGATTCGTTTGATACAAGAATATTCGATGAAAACTAATTATTTAAGAAACACGCTAAATGCAGAATTTTAATTTAGGATTAGGAGCAAAAATTAGGATTTTAATTTTATAATTAAATTGTATTTTAGTATAAATCAATGAAAATTTACTTGGATAACTGTTGAATCGTGTGAATGCCGCAGAGGAATCGTTAGACGTTTATCCATTTTTCAAATTAAATTGTCCCTATCCCTTGTTAGATAAATAAGGATCTCTAAATATCAATTCAATGATAAATAGGACAATTTTATTTCACTACGCAATGCGAGTCATGTTTGATCTTGATGTGCTTAGGTTGATATCAATGTATATTCACGATAAGTCGCAGATTATCTGGTGTACTTTTCAGAAACGGTGGTACATTTTTATCTAAATGTACTAAGAACATTTGAAAAGAAAGCTTCAGGGAAACATATTTGAATTGCGCTAGCGTGAGTATATCCAGTATAATTACCATCAAAGTTTCCTGGACTTCCTGGCCTCCGATTACAAAAAGTTGAGTAATTCTTTGATACGCCGATAGGAAAACGTACGAACCCCCATTTTCAGGAGGGTGCGGCATCACGTGTATCTTATCGATAAATCGACGGTGTTCTCGATCGCAAACACGTAACCTAGCCCATGGATCGCATATACGTATATAACCCACACCTTTTTACGTACGCACCCACAAAGGCCGCTCCTCCTTGCCACGCGATTCCCCCAAGTTATCTGCTTTCGTTCGCGATTTCAAGAACGGTTCCATCCGCGAGCCAATTACGAGAAACACGCGACTTTCTGGTGACTCGCCCTTTCACTCTAATTTGCTAACATCTACGTTTGCATTCCAACGCTGTCTACGCCATTCATGCGAAACTTTCGATATGAAATATGCATGGGAGAAAGATCAGTCCTGAGAGGAATTGCGAATTGTATTGGGTCAGACGTTCTTTACGTTAGAATTCATCAGATCTGATGGTAAATGCTATAGCCCAGCTTACTGGAACCTGAGTCAGTTATTCATGTTGTTTTTATGGAAAATGAAAAATGAAAAATTTCCTTAGTGAAAATGGTTTGGTTTGAAACGATTGTAAACATTTAAAAGATATCGTTTTCGCGTAGATGAAAACTCCCAAGCTCCGAAATAAAAAATTGATGGGTTAAAGAATCCTCTATTGGAGGTTTAATAACTGTTATAGCGTTCTGTTTGGCGTGGAATGACCCGATGCATGTTGGATGAGAACTTCTCGATGAAAGTGTAAAGACACGATGCACGGAAAAATCGATGAACGTGATGACACCCCAGAGGATTGACATTTCCACCGATAGGTCTAAAGCACATACAACGTCCTTACCCCCTTAAAGGGCGATTCCTGGTAATAAAGGTTCTAACGTCGAGGTCGGTGTATTTCCGTCGAACTCCGACGGAGAGGTATCTTATTATCCAGAATCGATAAGATTCAATTACTAAACGACTTCTTGATCATTTCTACGAAGTTTCGGAATCGATTTACGTTCATTATAAATACCCTCTTGCATTCCATGCTATTATCTTTTTTTTTAATACTAAGTCGGCTTACATCATATTGCGCGTCGATAATCTTATCTTCGATAGTTCTAGGTCACCGATGACAACTTCGCGTGTACAATGGGTTGAATTTCGTTTTTCAATCGGAAACTCCGTTAGAAAATAAAATAACGTTTAAAGAACGACAATTTTCATTTGATGAATAAATATCCTCTCCTAGATACATCGAATATTAAGACTTATGTTTCTATTAAGGTACATAAATTTGGTTTGCAGCAAATACTATGAAATGCTGAGAATCCACACTGAATATGTATGGTGTACTTCGCTTTTGTAAGTAATTCGTAAAAGGAAAATACCCTGGGGGTGTTTAATTAACAATATAAATTCCGGAAAACTGGGATGTATCGAAAATAGGTCGACGAGATCAGATCTTCTCGCTGTTATTCCAAGTTTGTATTTACTTTCGCGTTTATTTTGCATACTGTGCTTTTTCACGTGTTTGCTCGTTCTGACTCTCGATGAAAATATTTTTCAATTTTTAGAACGCAATATGATACCAGTCGATCGTGTGTCATTATTATTAAAACGACCGTGTAGGCACGCCACTCGAAATAATGAAAGAGCTTCGTGCTCAGGAATTAATCGGATCGGGAATTGGAGGAGCGCTCTCGTGATTTTTTTTTTTTTTTTTTTTTTTAAATATATGAATTTAATTATCGACGGCGTGAAAAAAATATTCTTCTAATTTTATCAACTCGTTTCGTTTTTGGAAAACACGAAGAAACGAAAGTCCAGGATTCTATTTAGAATCTAAAATAGGCCATGAAAACGCTGAAGTATAGAAATATGCAACGTGTGCACAAATAATCGAAGACTAGGAATTCGAATCGGTTTCCTAACGCCAGAAATAATCAGGGTGATCATGTTACGCGGTTAAACACACGTGTTAGACGAGCGAGTGTGCGCGGTATTCCACTGGATACTCGTTACGGTAATCGAATGGAGATTCCTATTAAACACGTTACAAAAATTCAAGTACTTCTTTTAAAAATCGAAATTCTAATTTCTGCCGTGCGTCGATAATAAAATAAATCCCAAAATTGCTGCTGTTAAATCGACTGTCTCAAGTGAATACAACTTTTATATTTCACCTGGTACATCGTAAAAGATAAATCAAAATTAACGTACTCTGTGAACATCATCGATTCAATCAGTTTTAATCTCAATTTATCTACTCGATCTTTTATTTGTATTACTAAGCCGTTCACATCACCGAAGCCACATTCAATCGCATACTATCACAGGGAAGGCGTTAATTATTTGACTGAATCGGTAAACGCCGCATAATTTCCAGATTGTCCCCCAAAGTATTCAAAATTGCCAACGTACCCCGTGCTGGGAAACGGTGTGCCAATATTTAATTAAACACCTTCCTGATTTGTAATCCTCCTCCTTAATTAACAGGGAAGGCACCGTAATGAACCGCGATCGGAGTTGGATCCGTTTCGTTCGGTTGTCCGTAATCTTCAGCAGCACGTGTTTCACCCATATGAGATTAAGTGTACGTCGAGCGCGTAACGGTTGAAATCACGTTGCGGTCTAATTTGTCGAATCAATCGCGGGTACGTCGAAGAGGGGGGGGGGGGGAGGCAAGTGGCACGCGCAAAACTTCGCGGGTGGTTTATAGCGGGCAGAGGAGAGAGAGTCGACGCGTCTCTCAGGTAAGAGTGTACATGCGTGGTCTCGTCGGCATGGAAATCCACCTCCAGGAACGAAAGACAAAGGACTATAGTTCACGTGCACGTGTGACGAACGAAGGAACACAGAGGAAGACGAGTGAAGTTGATAGATAGTCAAAGATGGACAAGCACGGTCGTTTTATTCGAATAATATGTAGTAACGTTTATCCCATTCTATCGTTCTTCCAATATTTATTCAACTTCGATTAATAGTTCCAATGTTCGTTTAAACAGTGATATGCGAAGTTTATTTCTTTTGAGATTTGTGTATGGGCTCGATCGTGACTCACCCCTGCGCGGTGTTGTTCATCGAAGTCGGGAAGTCGTGATCGTCGAACTTTAAGAATCGATGCACAGTGATTGCAAGAGTGATTCTTCGCAGAGTGCGAGATGTATTGCAGAGGGAAGGAAAGTTCGGACCCTGGTTGACTTTAGAATGTCCTCGATGGGGTCCAGTGAACCCTGGTCTGTTTTCTCGTGTTTACATCCTTCGGTGAGAGTGACATTTTCATCATCTGGAAAACTCTTTACCCAGTCTCCATCGTAGCATTTCGTTCCAAACACACTGGTCAGCTGTTCAGCTAACTCAAGCGTATAATCCCCAGCAGGACTCGAGATTGCATCCAGGACTGATCTTCCCTTCTCTCATCAATACAACTTCGAGTATAGTCAACCTACTAGATTCTTCCCACGATGCAGCGTTTCACGGTTTTCGCGTGGAAAATAGATTAGAAGCATAAAAGTCGCCATCACGTGAAGCTTATCGGCGTAAAATATTATAATGCGCCCGTTGGCCGACCGATTTCTATCTGAAACGACATTTTTATGAGAAAGGCCCACGCCATAAGCGTTTCTCTCGAGACCCTCGTCCTTCGGAAAATCTCGTTCAATTATTTTTTGTTCCGCAACTTAGCCTCGCTTCGTGTCCTCGTTTCGAGAAAATCGTTTGAAAGGGAATAGGAAGTTTGTTTACGTTAGTTCAACGTTTCGTTCTGAATCATCAATTACTCGATTCATTGCGATTAATTAGCCCTGATGGATTCTACTGTGCGAACCCAACCGTGAAAAGGAGTCTCGTCACTGTTTCAAATTGTCGGGTTATTTTTCCAACGCTCTAACGCAACCTTTTCCAAAGGAAAAATGAACAAAAAAAGAATCATGTACAAGTCGGACATCCGTCCATGTTGATGGATTGTACCCAGCACTGAGTAACTTCAGGGATGTGTTTGTCCTGCGTCGTTTTAATCTCCTCAACGACGAATTGTTTCGTACAAAGTAAATTAAAATTCTGATTGGCATCGGACACGTTATATCCGTCAGCCTTGCTACAATATTGCCTCGTAATATTATTGGAGAATCTAATTATGAACATTCATTTGCAATTTTAACGATCACGCGTCGCTGCGTTTGAAATAACCGAGAAACTAAATGTTGAAGTATGCGCCAGTACCCTTGACGAGGTTATATATACCACTCAACTCATTCGGTAAACGTTCCCATTCCTAAACTTCACTTTCAGAAAAACATACAGACACGTCACTCCAATTTACATGGAAAGAACTGGGTGAACCTCTGTCGATCTTCTGTAATTAAGAAAAAATTTAACGAAACCTTTCGTCCACTTCGTTTGTACCCAAGGTAACTCGACACTATCGTGAAATATTGTGACGCACTGTTAGCTAATCTTAAAAATGGATTTAGGATTTCCAGAGAAGCCTCGATCATCTATTCTCTCTCTCTCTCGCCCCCCCCCCAAAAAAAAAACAAATGAGATCACCGTTGATATCGCGTTTCTGTATCTGGTAAGAATTTCACCGCGAATCGCGTGACCGTGCCGATGGTTAGGGAATCAATGAAATCGTTTCTATCGATCTGAATGGTGGTTCCCCCCGTCATTGATCGACATTTCGGTGTGTCGCGTACGAACGCCAAGGTGCGTACGACTTGAAACAGTTCCTCGTGATAAACACACGCGCACCTGTTACCGTTATCGTTGGGACTTTTCAGTGGCCAGCTACCTTGTCAGTTTTCAACACACCAGCTCACGGTACTCGTATTGCGGATCCGGTAATATTATCGCAGCGATGATTGATCGTTGCACGGGGAAGAATCGAATTCTCGCGTGGTGGAGACTTCATGGAGTTGCAAACGTATTTTAGAACACAGTGCTCGCCGCGACGCGTCATTGGCTAGGTGCTCTTCTCTCACCGCTGAGAACAGAGATGGGCGATGCTTTATCCGAATAGATAACGAATCTAACGTTCATTCGTAACGATCTTTGGACGATTACGCGTTTAGTTACGAATTGTGAAATATTTCTGCGATTTCGTTCTTTTAACGAGCAACTAGTGGACAGTTTATTGTATTTTTATTTGCGTAAGAATTTTCCATTCACAAGAATTTGGTCTCCGACGATATATCATCTCTCGACGTATGAAATATTAAGTCACAGTGCTGTTCGGTGCGTGGCTACGGACTGGATCTATTTCAGCCTTGAATTGGACGTTCGCGAGACGTATTTCGAACATTCTTTCGCCTGGCCCGCGAGTTGGAATACCTGCTCCGCGACCAGTCCGACCAGAAACGCGTGTGCACTACTTGAATCATCAACGAAAGAGTGCGATCTCGACTCCGATTTCGAAGCTTGCATGAACGAGAACTTGGGCGATTATCGTCCCGCCGGAGGGGGGATTCGTTGTGGTTTCCGTGATCGGCGTGGCGTTCAAAGTGTCATCGCGAAAAGTAGTCGAGGAAACGACCGCGCCGCCGATAGGTTGCCAGGTGTTTCTCGTCTGGCGGCTCTGACATAGATTAAGAGGAATAAATTATTTCCGTTCGCACACGTCACTGGAGTCTTGACAGCGTGGCGGTAGTTTTCGAACATCGAGGAACACAGAAACGATCGCAAGACGGCCACTAGACGCCCGCCTTGGCCGATCCGATTGAAAGTAGTGAGTAGCGACACCATCCAGTCTTCTTCCTTCTTTGGAACACATTTGTCTATCTCCTCTGAAAATAATGATCCGAAAAAGTATTTCAGAACTTCTGTGACAGAATTCTGTGATGTTTGGTGGAAAGGAGTACACATATATTCAGGAATAGCTGCGAAAATGTTTAAAAAAGTGGCGAGAACTTTGGGTTATTAAGTTCTAATTTTAGCAACCTGTTTTTATGAGACTCTAAGATTCTTGAGAGTTCTCCCGAGTACGATGACCAAACATCTAAGAATTGTCTTATAATACACATTTCTTTTTCTTTCATATAATTATTAACAGTTATAACACTAGATTCTGTATCTCTAGTGAAACATAGGCTTTAAATTTATTTTCATTTCCAATCAGTCGACAACAATTGGGGCATTTCATTTATTCCGCATTTCTTTTTTCAACGAAATACCGACTGTATATAATTAATGAATTTACATAGATAATGGCTGCTTTTGCTCCAACGAATATTATACTCGAATGACAGTATTCGTGTCAAGGCGACTTTTACGCAAATTAACACACTCACACCAGAGCAACGACGGGTCGAGTTTACCGACATCGGCTCTAAAAATAATTTTTCACTCCCTTCGTTAGTTTTTTCTTTGAACTGCGAGAGGGATTTCCCCGTCTGCCGTTGAAACTATCGACTTTTATTGCTTGGACGGTGTTTATTTCCCTCGATGGGTTTTAACGTTAACTCGAACGTACATACAGGCTCACGTACAAGTTACCCACACGAACGCGATGACTTATCGTCGCTCAACCGTTAATTGTCACAGAGTCTAACGGTGTTCATCCCATGAATCGTGATTGTGCACGCCTAGAACATCGATATTTACGTTCGGTAATAATGATAACAGTAAATCATCGCAGTCAGCATTTCAGGATAATCCGAGAACCTTCGGACAATCGTGGATCCACTTTTTCACGCTTCGTCCCCCCGTATCGTTATTTTCGTTTAAACCCCCGTTTCATGGTTCAATGGGAACGAAAATATCGACCAACAATTTGTAACGTGTACGAAGGCTGAAGGACGAGTAGAGTTTACTATATTTTAACTTCTACCAAAATCAATGTATTTTAATGAATGAGTAACGAGAATAATGCTTGGAAACTTCCTGTTTCATTTGCTACTAATACTTGATACTAAAATCGTTAGGAAAGCGTTGACCATCTCCTGTCCTCGTACACTTCCTTGCAGTGAATCCTGTCTAAGAGACGCGTGGATATCCCCACAAATTCTCGAAAATATCCATTACAGTATCTACCTTGATATTGATAGAAGTTACGAAATCGAAGTCACTACTTTTCATTCAAGACTCGTACAATGAAGTTCCGTTTAGAAGTTCGAGCGTTATTCCATCCGTGGTTCTTTAAAAACGTAATATACGCAGAAGAATTCTTAACACGTTGGCTGTGATGTCATCCAGATATGGATGGCACGTAAAACCATAGAACCGCGTTATACCGCTACGAGTAAGACTCGTATCTTATCATGCCGCGAATGATATTAGTATTTTTAATAAGTTGTGGTTGTCGTGCTTGTGTAGAAGTCTTTTCAGATTGTAGAATTGTCTAGCCAGAGAAAACGAAACAAGTGTTTCCTTGTTCGTTTCATTCTCACTGTATATGCGTCTATTGTGCTGCTTGGAGACTGTAGAAGCCTGACCTGGCAAGATTTTTTGCAAACTCGATGTGGCATTCAACGTTTTAAGGTGCTGGCTTGTTGGGACGTAGAGTTGAACTTTCATATTAATTGCACAATTAGAACCTTTTAAAGAGAACACTGTATTGTAGCTTTAAAAATTTGATCAATTTCACATTTATTTTAAATTGGCGTTAATTGGCGTTAAACGTTAATTAAAGTTTGTATTTAAATAATAATGCTTAGCTTTCAAGTGAAGCCTGTACGACACTGTACATCTACTCTCATTGTCAGTATGTGATTGTAATGAGCAGCCGCGTATGTGAGCAAAAGTGTCTCTCGCACTTAGTGCAGGAAAACTGATAAAAATCGATCAATTTATTGATTGGGTTATGTACACATACTTTTCCTCGAACCTAACATAGTAATGGTGTTATTAAAAAACTTCAGATCGACTGGCAGCAGATAGCCACAAAATAGATAAGTGAGTTTTAAGTGTTCTAAGAAGAACGATATCAATAAAGACGTTGTATTATTATAAACGTAACACGTTTGTAATTGAAGCAATAATGAATTCTCGCGGTTATGTTTATATTATTTAATTCAATAAAGAAGAAATCGTGGACCATGTTGTTTCTTTAATGCAATTTATATGAAAATATACAGTGTGGTGCTGTTGATCGAGGTCATGAGTCAGATCTAATTTCTATGGTAATAAAAAGTAGGAGGAGGGAATCAGAAGTTATTAGCTGCCTGAAAGGGTGCTTTGAAGAGAGTTCAAAGCTGAGAAAAATTGAAAGAAATATATTGTACCATTGTTCCTTTCGATTAGAATCACTATCGAGGACGAGTTCAGATTCTATTCCTCAAAGTAATATACTAAAGATAATACTTAAAATACATGAATTCAGAAATCTTCTCTTGTTAAACAATCAGAACCAGCTACTCACCCTGTACATATCACGAGATGGGAAGTGTTCCATGACTGACCGAATTTAGAAAACACTAATTTGGATAATGGAAGAGGGTGAGAAATCTAGTACCTCTTCTCTGCTACGCACATTCCTGACCCCACGGGCGGAATAATCGTGATTCACGCAAGTTCGGACGACCATCACTAGAGAAATGGCTGCCGCATAGAATGCGAGCCCAGCCAGACGACCGTGACCGTTTTCTCGGTCACGCACGTTCAAAATTTGTAGCACGATATTCCGGTTCCCGATGCCCCTGTAAATAGAGAAACATTTTGACGAGCGAATTACTTAACCAGCATTCAAATCTGAACCAGTTTCGAGGACTAGACATAACACTACCATTCGAGCTATCCCTTCGTAGATTTTATCTCCTCAAGCCTCAACATCCAACATGGCCGCCATCTGCATTAACCAATTCTGTCTGATTTAGGCCCCTCTGCATTCAATGCAACCAACTGCCAGGGGGAGCCCTCGGGTTCCCAGTCCTGGCTCGTTGCGTCCTTTCACACCTCCGGATCTTTCTTCCATACCTCACATGGACGGTACGCCTCCGCAAGACAACGGTGTTCGTAGCAGTTTCTCATCCACTAGCGGCCGTGCCAGCGACGGGAAGCAAGAACAATCCGGGCCCTACATAATCGGTAGTCCCATCGACCTGGGAAACATCGATAACGTCGATAACATCGGCCTACGCATAAACCCGATATCGAACGCACGACGAAGGACACGCGAGCACATCGAGCTACAGGACTCTGGACCGGTCGAATCGAATTCCGAAGGTGAGACATTATCCTGTACATTAATAATGCTCTCCGTATTTAGCAATCCCGGTACATTTCTACGGTCGATACTCACTGCTTGTAAAACAGGAATTAAAAGCGAGGTAAAAACTCTAATCGGATACAAAGTTGAAGGTAGAGTGATCGTTGTTGAACTACGGAGCCATAGGTCAGTGAAATATTGAGGCGGTCTATACATGGATTATTCTACCGTACTTGGTCAATATCATCAAGATAAAATGTTTTCCACTGCCGTGGAAATACGGTGCAAGCGATAGACATCGACGGTGTTAATCGTCGTAAAATCTAAGCGTACAGTGGTAATAGTAGATCATACATTGTTGCGAGACAAAGAAACTCATTGTCAGAGGTATACACGACCGAAGATTGGTTGAAACTAGAGATCACGGTTTTGAAACGGGTATTAAAATACACGGGTACACGAAACGCGTGTACCGTGTATTAAGGAATTAAGAACACTAAACGGGTATTTTTAATACGCGAGTACCCGGGTATCGAAATACACGGATATCCAGATACGTACACGTGCATCGAAATACACGTGTACGCATACACCGAATTATACGGGTACAGTGTCCAATTACATACTTTTATATACAAACTTTTATGTAAAAAAAAGCTTTTATTCTACGTAAAATAATGATCCTTATTCATTTTGAAAATATTGACAAGCAATAAAATGAATAAATAAAAAAGATATAAACATAAGAAGAATAAATATAACAGAATACATTTTTTAGTGTAATTTGTAATACTTTATTTATTAGCTAAAGTAAATGTTCAAGTCAATGCGCGTACCCGTGTATTTCCATGCACGTATACGTACCTGGATATCCGTGTATTTCGACGCCCGGGTAGCCGTGTATTAAAAATACACGGATTAAAACACGGATCCATTAATTACCCGTGTACCCGGGTATTTCGATACACGTGAAGTAGGGATCTCTAGTTGAAACGTTATCGTTTATATTTTGATTCTTATCTAACAAGGGAACATATCTAACTGTCCATCTCCGATTTTGATGAAACTTGGTGGGTACATTAAGCAGGTGAAAATAGGGGATACGTATTTTTGTATAGCTGCCCAATCGGAAGTTTAGGGGTTGAAATCACCCCTTGAAGTTTCAGCAGAAAAATGTTATCCCGAAAACAACAATATGTACAAGAAATTTTCTTAGGGAAAAGTTTCATGGTTTCATGAGGTAAAACACAAAGTGGTCACAGATTTTGTAAAATGTAATTTGTTTATGACAAAAAAAATTGTTTGTTACATTCTTTTAAGAGATAGACAAATTTATATAACGACAAAAATGAACGGAAATTGCTTTCCGAATCCATTGATATATAATACAATACATTTGCCTCCTACTTTTTCAACCCCTAAATTTGTGATTGGGCAGCTATAAAAAAATACGTATCTCTTATTTTCACCTGCTTAACGTACCCACCAAGTTTCATCAAAATCAGAAACGGACAGTTGGATATGTTCCCTTGTAAGTAATAGAATTATAATCTATGGTTTTCGACTCGTTTAAGTTAGTTCTCCTAACGTTCTGTCGCACTTTGCGAACGCAACGAGCCGCTGCGCCTTTACCAAAGTAACGTGACCGGATTGTCCAATAAGGTTTGATATCCCTGGTGTAGAGGCACCCCAGCGGAGGTGTCCTTGGCCCATAGTCTACGGACATCGTGGTTGTTTATTGACGCAACCTTACCGTACACCTCCCCGTATACACAGCAAGTGCCAGAGGAGTACAGCACGGTGCTGACACCAACTTGTTGCCGGTTGCAGGCGCATGCGTTTTCGGGGTAACACGTGTGCAGGGCTGTCGCATTTTGTGGACACCCCCTCAGCAGTATTGTACCAAACAACTGCACAGCCCGTGGCTTACGCAATTTCGTTTATCCAACATTGCGGACGCATTCTGTTCAAATTCTACAATTTCTACATCGAAGACGTTAATCTATTTAATGAACCTCTTACGTTCATGTCACCCTTTCCTATAATTCCAACCATAATTGCATCGATATACTCGACATTTTTTTTATCCATCTCGAGTAAAAACGCGTAATTATCGAATACAAAGATTTATTTGAAAAATCTACCCGAAATAAAGTATCATTTGAGCGGTATAAATAGAATTCATAAATTATTCGTTCGCCGACGGTCTATGAGGGTCACGTATACCACGGCGAAGAAGTCACCGATATTCAGTGCCACCTACGTGCTCGAATCAGTGTCTCGCGAGCCGAGCAAATTTCCAAACGCGATATGAGCAAGGATATCCCTGGCTTCGGAACCTCTACGAAGGATTTTTAGTTTCGGTTAAATGTCGTTTCGTGTGCATTGATCTGTAGGTCTGTTTTCACGCGTATTTGTGTTTTCGTTGGTTCGACAGGGGTGTGGCGATAGACGCGAAGCTTCCTCCGGTACAATGACGCAGATATGTAGTTTGTTTAACCGATCGTTATCTCGGGCGGAAAAAGTGTGCTATTAATGTACGTTAACCACCGTTTCGTGGTGACAGTGCGTACGTGTCTCGCATGATTGTTACCCATCTATACGAGTTGGTCTCGATGAGCCAAGAGGAAAGATTCGAATTATTTTTGAAATGTCAAAACAAAGCCGAGGAATAATTTAGATTGTTACTACCTGATCGAACCAAAATACAGTTCCGAGTGTAATCGTACGGTTGATTTCTATCTTTTTAATTCGGCGTTGATGTTTGCTCTGTTTTCCTGTTCGATCCAATTTAATTGTATTATTTCCTCATATTTCGAGCTGGCTATTGTCTCACTTCTAATTTCGTTTACCTAATCGTTACACAACTTGTTTAATAGGTGGTGACGTACGGATGGATAATGCCGGAAGTAATTATTAAATAATCGGTGTCGAGAGGCTATGGAATGTACGAAAATAAATATTTTGCGTGAACGCGTCTCGCGAAATAATGTATGAATAACAGTGTAAGATTACTATTTAACGTGTAATGAAATTTGATATTGGTCAGTTTTTGTTTCCTGTAATGTAATTTAATACAATACATGGTCAGGGCCGGTACTAGTGTTACCAACGCCTCGTTGGTGATTTCGAATTTAAGCAACCCTTCCAACTCGTATTACAAATTAAAAACAAGTGGAACCTGAGTAGTTGATTACTACCAAGCATACGCAGTATTGTAATTACATGAGTACCTCCCTCGTCAGTTGGTATGGAACGCTCACTTCCATAGGTTAATCATTTTTTTTTTTTTTTTACTTATTTTTAAAAGTTATCCAATGCATCGTTTGCTTCCACGTAATTTCGATCCTGTATATTAGTATTTGTAAGAACATGTAACTTGTGAATGCGACGGAGCAATACATTCATGTTTTAGCACGTTATTTCAAGACTCGCGCTCATATGACCTTGAAAGAACCACGACTTGAAAAAATATGCATCATTCCAAATTCTGCTTTTGTATTACCATGCATGCTAAATCTCCCTTGCTAATACGATCACATTTTATCGACCAACAATAATTTCACGTGACATGAACGATTTTTTGTTTGCAGTTTGTAACGTATATAAATATAGACGTATAAAAAGTATTTTAAACCCTTCCAACATACTAAAATATACGAAAATCATCTTCGCTGTGCATGTGTCAGATTCGAATGAACTCTTGCTAGATTGTGTAATTCACATTGGCGATAAATCATTTTTTAATGAGATTTTTTCTGAAATACGCAACTATAACCTCGAAGATGATAGCACGATCCCGAGATCGTGTCGTTTTATAGTTGGATAACCTAACGAAACGTTCTTCGACGTAGTTAACATATGTAGATCTGACTCACGTAATTTGTCCGTCGATACAATTTGTTCTGAAAGAATTATAGAATCTTTACCGCTATAACCTTGAAACACTAGATCGTATTCTATTACCGTCAACGCTTTATCAAAACCGTACTGGCTACTATATGTTTGTACAGTGTTTCCATATCGTCGGTTAAATATGGTTCGAATCAACGAAGTAATGTGAGAGACGTTTAATTTAGCAAACAACAACATGGAAATAGCGAGTTCTAAGGTGATACAATGGTACAACGAACTCAGATCTCTACTTCATCTTTATTTGCACGCTCAAAATCGTAAGTTCGTGCATTAAGAAAATATGTACTTAGACGAATGATCGAGTTAGACGTGTGACGTGTACTTGACTAATGTAGTCGATTAAAAAATTCTTTCAAGTGTTATTATAGTAAATTTACGAGAACTAATGTAATATTTTTCATAAAATGACACCTTTGGGCGAATGTCATTGCAGTTTTTTAAGTCGTTAATGTTGATGCAATTTTCCGAATTATTTTGAGATTACCATGGACTAATATTACGAAGATATCGAAAGCTTTAGAAAGCAATATTAACATACAGCGAAAAGTTACATTGGTATAATGTAAATTGATTATTTTGTTGACGCAGTTGGTCCAATAAGAGCGGAAAATGGAGGGTCTCAAGGTGACGATCAGCGCTTCTCGCGACAGAGCGACAACAATGAAGAGAGGGTGGTTTTTATTAATGCCCCGCATCAGCCCGCGAAATACAAAAATAATCGCATTTCCACCGCGAAATATTCATTTCTTTCGTTTATACCTATGTTCCTTTTTGAACAATTTCGCCGGTACAGTAATTGTTTCTTC